CCTCCCTGACCCACAGACTCCTCCCTGACCCACAGACTCCTCCCTGACCCACAGACCCCTCCCTGACAAGAGACATTTCAGCATGACAGCAGTCTGCAGACACATGAAGATGTTCTGCAGTTAGCTCAGATGTTCTCAGGTGAAGCTTTGCTGTGGTTTCAGGTGGACGCTGTGAGGCTGATCGCTGAGGGGCGGGCACCGAGGACCACACAGCCCAAAGAGGGGGCCACCTACGAGTGCATCCAGAAAAAAGACAATGCTAAGGTAGAAGAAGAGGGGATGTGAGCTGAAACAGAAAACACTGGATGCTGACAGCAGCCTCTCTGTTCACAGATTGACTGGAACCAGTCAGCTGAGGCTCTCCACAACTGGATCAGAGGAAATGACAAAGTCCCTGGAGCCTGGGCAGAGACTGGTGGACAGGTGAGGGACACCTGAAGGCTCGTCTTTATGTTCCAGTTTGAGACATCGACACTTAGCAGCTGTTTGAAGTAAAGCACGGAGCTGAAACTGTCCTCATCCTCCTTGTAGAAACTAACTTTCTCTGGCTCCACCCTGATGGACAGCAGCACACCAGCCAGCGGTCAGCCTCTGGAGTTTCCTGGAGCCCACCGGCCCGGCCTCGTCACCAACAATGGTCTGGTGCTGTTTGGAAACGATGGCAAAGCGGTGAGTCGGCCTGTCTCCATGACCTGTCCACTGTGTGACCTCAGGGGTGTTTGAAGTGTTGCTTTCTCCTCAGCTGCTGGTGAAATGTCTGCAGTTTGAAGATGGGAAGATGATTCCTGCAGCTCAGTACTTCTGCTCAGGGAGCAGTGCTTCTGTGGAGCTGACCGAGGAGGAGAAAACATTCGCTGAGCAGATGAGGGTACGACCTGGTGCTGAGGACATCAGAGATGCAGAAACGTCTCTTCTGGTTTTCATTTTGTACCTTTCTGTCTGTCAGGTTGTGTGGCAGAGCATCCTGCCTAATCTGAGCCAGATTGAAGACTCCACAGATTTCTTCAAGTCTGGTGCTGCTTCCATGGACGTGGTCAGGTAATTAAATCATTCAAATGAATTAAATACATCTGTCAGGGTTGAGGTGGGGCAGCTCACTAACTGTACCAGCAGTGATGGGAAACAACTAAACATGTAAACAACAACAACAAAAGCTTCAGACTGTTGCAATAATTCTTTGACTTCATCTATTTAAGCAAGTATTTAAATATTTAAATCACAGATAAATGTACTAGTGATATACAGCAAGTAAAATAAGTATTGAACACGTCAACATTTCTCTCAGTAAATATATTACTAGAGGTGCTAATGACATGAAATTTTCACCAGATGTTGGTAACAACCCAAGTGATCCATACATACAAAGAAATCAAACCAGTTATTTGTATTTAATGTGGAATGGCAC